AGTACTGGTGATCACCAAGCTCAAAATGTTATACATAATGAGGCTGATTTCAAAAAATAAAATATAAACATAACTATAATCATACTGGCAAATTGGTTTGATGATATGAGAATCACCTCTAGGGGGGAGATGATAATTTGAGAATTAAAAGTTCTTATCATCAAGAAACTTTAAAGTAGAAACAATGAACACCAAGGCTACAAAATATTTCCAAAACAAAACAAAAGGAAGCATATGTTCCCTGAATCAAGGAAGCATATGGTCTCCGAATCAGATTCAAGACAAATCTGAACTTCTCCTAGTTGACTACTTTCTCAGAGACTAATCATTTTCTGTTTGGGGTGATTTTACTGAGATTCTTAATATGTTTCACAGTGAGTGTGTGAAATTTAAAGGCTTTAATTTCACCTCTGAGTTTTTCTGAAGGCTAGTTTAGACAAAATTACAACTTTGTTAAAAATATACTCTAGGGCTGGAATTGTGGCTCAGTGGTACAGAGCACTTGCCTAGCACGTGTGAGGCACTGGGTTTGTTTCTCAGCACCACATAAAAAAATAAACAAATAAAATAAAGGCATTGTGCCCATCTTAAACACACACACACACACACACACACTCTCTCTCTCTCTCTCTAAAATCCAATGTTCATGGTAAAACTTTGATGAGTGGATTAATTATTCCCACATGAAAACACGCAATTCATAATTTGGAGTTCCGTTTTCACTTCTAAGAAATAATTACTTTAGAGCAAGTAATGCTCAACAGTAGTCCATAAAGGCAATACCAAATGCCAATGGAAAGATTCATAGATGCCAATGGGGCACACTGACTAGGCAGTGGCTGGGCCCATGCCAAGCAATACAGGAAACTGTTCCACTGTTAGGGATAAAAACTTTTGAAAAAGCAAATTTCAAAAATTTCAGGAAGTCAATCTCTGAAAGACGAGAAAAACTGAGTTATGACAATTAAATGCAATATAAATAATAAATACATGAATGGACTTAATAAAAACAGGGGAAGAGAACAATTAGGACATCTAGGGAAATCTAACTCTAAACTGTATATTAGCCAACCTTATTGTAGCAAGTTTCAATTCCATGAGTGTTACGTTATATTGTTCTCAGGAGTTATATTCTCCAGTATTTAGGATTCCATAAAGGCTCAATAAAAAAATAAAAGTGTGTGTGCAAAAAAAGGAGGGGAAAGATGTGGCAAAACATTAACAACTGGGGAACCTAGGTAAAGGTGCTCACTGAGCTCTTCTTTAAAGCTTTCTACAAGACTGACTGTGATCAAAATGAAACCTTGTGATAAAAAAACTTCAGAGAGGCCTGACCTCGTGATGCAAGGCATTGTCTCCAGACTGATCAGGACTTTCTTTCTTTCTCTTTTTTGTTAGTTCAAAGAGACAAAAACCAGAGGGAAACCATTCTGTAGACATTTTAAAAATTGGTAGTAGACAAACAATATAAAAGAGATGCCCTTATTAAAGATTAATATCAAATCATGTTATAACTCTCCAAGGCTTTTCTCTGACAGGCTCACATACAAAACTAAGGGTTTTATTGTTTTGTTTTAAACCATTTTCAGGAGAAGAGGGCTGAGCACTAACATTTTTGAGAGACTCAACACTCGGCTGGGAACTTTATTGAAACCATGTAACTTAGCCCTCAGGACAAACTTGAATATAGGTGTTAAGGTCCCAAACTGAGGGGGGAAAAGGAAAAGAAACCTCAGTGAGGTTAATAACTTTGTGTATATATTTCTCTGTATTTTTAAAGAAATGATTACTAAGACTTGAAATAGGTTTAAAGGAGCAAAAGCAGTATTTTTTTAACAATGGGGTTCTGGAGTGCTGTTCAAAACTAAGGTTATGAGATGCTGTCGGAAGACAAAGGAGGATTTATACAGCTGCATCTCAGAAGGCATCCAGCTGCTATTCTTCAAGTTTTGCAGAACCTGCCCGACCTAACCTGGGGGGTGGGGCCCTGTTCTCCCAGCACCTTTCTTCACTCATTCCCACTAATCACTCCACCCGGTGCCTCTCATCCCTGCACGAAAAGGAAAACTGGCTCATGAAACCCTAACACCTCTACACATTCTTAAAGATTCTAGAAGTTCTGTTTGGAAATATTGAGAGAAACTGATCTTTTTACTTATAAAAATGATGACTGACAGATTTATGGGCAGACACTGAAAACACATAAAGACAGGAGAGTTTAGGACAAATAGTACTTAGTACTCCAATCCTAAATAATGTATTTGGTAAATATCTCCTAACTAAAAGATTCTTCTTCATGAAGCTAACAAAAGAAAAAGGAACAAAAAGGTGGGGAATGTTTTATTGAAATTATTCAGGTTTGAAAATTTTAATAGATGCAGTACAACTATCAAAAGCCAAAAACTCAAAGATTTAGGAAACTTAGAACATTTTTTCATTCTTTCAGCAGTAACTGAATACTCAGCACCACAAAGTTATTATTGTGATATGTAGCATATATTATGTAATATGTAATACAGGCAATCTAGCATTTATTTTTTTGAATTATTATTTTTAAATAGATGAATAAGAAACAAATTTACATACAGACTTCTAGTTGATTTATCTGACTTTTTTTCCCCTAAATTTTACTTCTTATGTTACAGTTTTATAATTTACTTTGGAAAAGAAAATATTTCTCAAATAAAACTTGATGAGAAAAAGATATCTTAAGAAATATTCTTTGTTATCACAATTGAGAAATCACTTATTTTTAAAATTTTCTGGAAATGTTACTTTCAAAGAAGCTGATGTATATCTTCCTCTACTAAACCTCACTTTTAGCCACTAGATCAAATTTTCAAAGAGAGCTGTAGAATATCCTCTTTAGGATGTCTTAAGATGGTCCCTATATCCTTCTTTGCCAAAAATAATAATAATAATTCTAGACAAACTTTCATAAGAAAAATAAGAAACCCAATATAAATTTTAGATGTGTAGATAATTAAGTAGGTCCCATTTAGTTTTTTGCTTCTTATACCACTGTCCTTTTTATCTAAGATACTAAATATAATTTCCTCTCCTATAACCAAAGATTTATAATGTATTTAAAATGCTTAGCATAGGTATTCTCCATAAATTGGTTATCTTTTCTTTCCAATACTGTCAAAAATCATTTTCATTATGGTTCCCAACATTCTGCATTATTAGATAACAATTTTACCCATTAAGGCTTATTTTTTTTTTTAAAGAGAGAGAGTTTTTTTAATTTTCGGTGGACACAACATCTTTATTTTATTTTTATGTGGTGCTAAGGATCGAACCCAGCGCCCCGTACTTGCCAGGCGCGCACGCTACCACTTGAGCCACAACCCCAGCCCCAAAGTCTTATTTTTAAGTATAACAAGACTCCTGAATTTCTATCACCTGATTTATATCAAACTGTATCCTATTGCATTTAATTAATATTTCTAAATATATGTCATTCTAGGAATAAATGCAACATTTGATTTTTAATTTTAATTTTTTTCCTAGTATCCCATCATCTCTACATTCTCAGCTAAGTTTTGATGAGATATACTGAACACACATTTGGTGGAAGAGGGATGTAAAATAATGGAATAATGGATTTTTGAAACTAACCTATACACTGGAGCCCTGATCTATCAATTAATGATAAATATATTATACAAATACTAAAGGAGTTTACCCAGAAATAAAAGTCATATGTCATACAGTTTGCAGCAGAAAGGGAGATTACTTATTTTAAGACTCCTAAGTTTCTGTTGAAAGGATTTCACATCATTAAGACACGATGATACTGATTCTTATTCTTCCTTCCTTGTTTACATCACTGTTCATAAAGGTCAAGTTTGGTATCTCTGCTTGAGATAAATTTAATGCCTTACTGATATAAAATAACTCATTCCACCAAAGGCATTACAATCGATACTTTTTCTTCACCATTTAAAATAAATACACTTTGATATTACAAAAACCTCAGAATGGCAATGTAGATACCATACCAATGAAGTAAATTTTCCTCATTCCTGTCTTTATAGACCTGATCACTATATAGCAAGATTAAATTGAACCAGAAACTGCTAACAAATTAAAAATAAAATTCAACCTTAAAGCATCTTTATTATATAGCACAGGTGAAAATAAGGTAATTTCATGAAATAAATTATTCATATATAATATTCAAGCTCCAAAGGTCATCTGTTTGAAATGTTTACCTTTTGTTTTTCAAAAGAATAATTCTACTTATATTTACAAGGGAGCATGATTTTTCTCAAACCAAATATAGTAGTACATCATTTGTCCCCTGTCTTCAGAGAAGAAGGGATTCCACAGTGTGACTTTTCAAATAATAGCTTATTCATTTCAATGACCAAATTCACTTTACTTAAACTATTTTGGACAGAAATTGTTCTTAATTACATCTCATACTTCCCTACCAGTTCAGGTAGAACACTATAATGAACATAATTTAAGCACTTGTTATAGGGCTGTCCCATGACTATCTATAAGGTTACTGTGGTAAATTTAAAGACAGCAATAGCCTCAGGACATTAACAAATATAAAGTAATATTTTCCTATCCTAAATGACTCCATAATGATAAGTTCTTCAATCTGCATTTTAAGAGTCTTCCTGCCCCTAATTAAAAACTCTCACTCATCACTTCACCCATCTTCTAAAATCACTGCTTCTAAACTGTAGCTGGTAAATCAGAGAACCATGCAAGTAGTAATTTTACCAAAATGTAGCAAGTTACACACTGGGATGAGAATCTCCATTTAAAAGGTACATCAGCTTAGGCTACAGCATAACTTATATATTTAGTTACTCAGAGAACATTTTCAATTATTGACTAATTCATGATTATGTCAGATGGTTTTGATTTCTGGGAAAATGACAAAGAAGTTATTAATCTACAGCAATTTTTCTTTGTAACTTCTTGCCCATTTTGTAAATGTTCCCATAAGTAAGCAAAAGCCATAGTAGAATCAGACTTACCTGAGGCACGCCTTGTGAATCGATTTATTACTGGAGCTAAAAGAAAAGTGCAGAAAAATATAATTAGATTAAAAATCTGATTTTTCCAAACCCCTACAAAGGCTCAGATTACTAAGTAATCTTATAATGTAAACAGAGAAAATATGAATGAATAAAGATAAGATATACAAAAGATACAAAAATTACATGTTCAAATTCATTAATAAAGAAATGCAATTTAAATCAATATTTTACCTATTAAATTAGTTTCCCCAAACACTTTAAAGAAAATTCACCTGGTTAGAGAGAGCTGAAACTACTTAACTGGGACAGTGTAAATCTATATATTACCTATAGAAAATCTGACAATTACTTCAAGTACCATAAAAGGTTTATGTCTGTGGATAGAGTAATTCTACTTTTAGAGATTTATTCTTTAAAAAGCTACAAGAGAAGAGGAAAACAATATGTGAACACTTTTAGCATTATCATTTTAAAATTGAAAAAAATAGGAAATATAGATAAAAGTGTTCATGTATACAGAGATCATTTTTAGGTGAAGGATAGTATATCCTTGAACATTTCCGATTTAATATTTGTGGTTTTGATATTTTTGTGCAACCCAAATGTCCATGACATGCAAATGTGTACACTGAAAGCTGTGACTCCCGGCTACTGCGTGCATCACCCAGCTGGCAAGCCTACCGTCTGCCCACATGCCTGACTCAACTCAGCTCTGTGCTGCTGCTTAGGTTTGCTGACACAGTTATCTCAAGTGGAGGGCTCTTTTTTTTTTTTTTCTTGAGAAAAGTAAGTAAATTTATGGTTCATATTATATAAGACAAGACCTCACATATTATACTGTATATTTTGTTTGCAGAATGTCATGGGTCTACTAAAGTACTCCAATACTTTCAAAAGAACAACTATGAAAGTTGTTTACACTATGTACTCACTTGGGTCAAGGAAAAGACATAATTTTTTAACAGTACTGTGGTCACACTGCATGACGAATATATAGGAGTAAGTACCAGGAGAAAACTGCGTCAGATTTTTACCTTCATCTCTGCAAACATGCTATTAAACATCAGCATCATCATATTACTGATGATTAAGTTTTATAGTAAGGCCTAGAGAAATTGATTAATTTGTTTTAGATCAAATAACCACCCTGTAGCAAATCTGGAGAATTTGAACCTAGGAGTATCTAGTACCAACACAATCCTTTGGAAAGAAGAGAAAGTGAAAACACTGATTCCCGAAATCACATCATAGGAAGTGAATACTTTCTTTCATACTGATCTTCACTGTCATTAAAGATTAACTTCATTAAATAATTCACAAATCCAATTATTAAAATAGCATAGAGTTTGCAGCAAAATATATCCTCCAGACTGATCGAGAAAAAATTCTTATTATTTATAACCAAAATAATTTAGCCATGTATTTGCACAGTCAAAAATTACTTATATCAAAAAAAGTTCAATACTGCAAGTATTTTAAAACACAAAAGTCCTTCAGTTTCCTTGGATGCTTTTAATCCCCCTTTTCATAACTCTTTTGGAACCTAAATACAAGGACAGTGACAAGAGACAATGTACAAAGACATTCAACCATAGGAATGCAGAACAGTACCTCAGATAAAGAAAGATGAGGGCTAAAATCCTATCTAGAGCTTGGGGCAAAAAATAAAAGTAGATATTCGCTGCCCTCCTGTCCAGATGAAACCACAGGGCTATGAGCTTCAGGCTAGACATGGTGGGAAATCTCTGTTCTCCTGAGTCCTTAGGTTTATGCATCTTTCTGAAGTGGCTGAAGAAGAGGACTTCCTGCACCAATGGCCCTGTCATCTAAAACATCTTTTTTTCCTTCTTCTCCTTCTCCTTCTGTTTCTTCTTCTTCTTCTTTTCCCTTGTTTTGTTTCTTTTTGGCAGCGCTGGGGATTGAACCCAGGGCTTCATGCATGCCAGGCAAGTACTTTACCACTGAGCTATATCCTAGGCCCCCAATTCTTTAAATTTGTAGGGATAATTCCGATTGTCATACTAATTCAGAAAACACACTTGGCATTTGGCAGGCAAACTCCAGAACAGTCCTACACTAGAAAGAACTGTCCTACATTCCCAGCTTTCATCCCAGATGACTTTCAAATACCCCACAGGGCATTCCTGATTCTAACACTGCTTTATATATGTACTTGATTACTTTATGCTGTTTTAATATATATATCAAATTTTCTCAAACAAAACTATGTAAATCAAAGGAATTACATTTTCTTTTTTATACTCTGATTGGAATTACACTTTATTAGATGTTCACTCTTTCAGGAAGTCTATGCCACTTGCAACAACATCATTTGTCATTTGGGCTATTTGAATACCAGTACAGTATGTTTGGTCACCTAGACATTTTTTTAATTTTTTAAATTTTAATTTGTTATATATGATAGCAGAATGCATTACAATTCATATTACACATACACAATTTTTCATATCTCTGGTTGTACACAAAGTAGAGTCACACCATTCGTGTCTTCATACATGTACTTAGGATAATGATGTCCATCTCATTCCACCGTCTTCCCTATCCCTATGCCCCTCCCTTCCCCTCCCACCCCTTTGCTCTATCTAGAGTTCCTCTAATCCTCCCATGCTCCCCCCCACCCACCGCATCCCATTATGAATCAGCATCCTTATATCAGAGGAAATATTCTGCATTTGTTTTTGGGGGGAATTGGCTAACTTCACTTAGCATTATATTCTCCAACTCCATCCATTTACCTGCAAATGCCATAATTTTATTCTCTTTTAATGATGAATAGTATTTAATTGTGTATATACACAACATTTTCATTATCCATTCATCTACTGAAGGGCATCTAGGTTGGTTCCTAGACAGTTTAGCTATTGTGAATTGTGTTGCTATAAACACTGATGTGGCTGTGTCCCTGTAGTATGCTGTTTTTAAGTCCTTTGGGTATAGACCGAGGAGTGGGATAGCTGGGTCAAATGGTGGTTCAAGGAATCTCCAAATTGCTTTCCATACTGGCTGCACCAATTTGCAGTCCCACCAGCAATATACGGGTGTGACTTTTTCCCCACATCCTCGCCAACACGTACACTGGAGAAAAGATAGCCTCTTCAACAAATGGTGCTGGGAAAACTGGAAATCCATATGCAACAAAATGAAATTAAACCCTTATCTCTCACCATGCACAAAATCCAACTCAAAGTAGATCAAGGACCTAGGAATTAAACCAGAGACATTGCGCCTAATAGAAGAAAAAGTAGGCCCAAATCTCCATCATGTCGGATTAGGCCCCAACTACCTTAATATGACTCCTATAGCACAAAAATTAAAATCAAGAATCAATAAATGGGATGAATTCAAACTAAAAAGCTTCTTCTCAGCAAAAGAAACAATCAGTGAGATGAATAGAGAGCCTACAATTTAGGGACAAATTTTTACCACAAGTACGTCAGTTAGAGCACTAATCTGTAGGATATATAAAGAACTCAAAAATCTTAACACCAAAAGAACAAATAACCCAATCAATAAATGGGCCAAGGAACTGAACAGACACTTCTCAGAAGAAGATATACAATCAATCCACAAATATATGAAAAAATGTTCAACATCTCTAGCACTTAGAGAAATGCAAATCAAAACTACTGTATGATTTCATCTCACTCCATTCAGAATGGCAACTATTAAGAATACAAACCTACACAATTTTTATAGCTTTTTAGTCTAGCTAGTCAAATAGGAATTAAGATTGATTCAGGGTAGAGGCCTTGCTGGAAATAAAGATATGTGCATCTGGCCACGCTGTCATTTTCTCCCTCAGGGACCTAAGTCAGGCAAGGGAGCCAGGGGTGAGGTAAGGTCAGTACTGCCAACTTTCTGACCCTCCACATCACTGGTGGTGGTGGTGAGGGTGGGTAGGACAGCAGGCAAGAGCCGTGGGCGCCACTACTGGCACCATAGCCTCCCATGAAACTGAGGATAGTGCATGTAACTTAAATTCTCAGCTCATGAAATACGGATACTAAGACCTGTCTTTCTTCTTCAGAGGGTTTTTTTGGAAAAAAAAGAAAACATATTTTTAAAAGTGCCTGTCAACTATAAACTCCTATTCAAATGTAAAGGACTGATGCTTATTTACTGTGAACTAACAATACCATTTTTAAAAATATATATATTTTTAGTTGTAGATGGACACAATGCCTTTATTTATTTTTATGTGGTACTGAGGATCAAATTAGTGCTCTACTATTAAGCCAAAACTCCAGCACCAACATTACCATTTTTAAAGCATACTAAGTAAACAACAATACAAATTGTCATAAAAGAAAGTTTACAAATAAAGATGTTCTAAAATGTGACAAGTCAAATTAAGTTTTCGTAGGAATCTTGGTTTCACCTTCATTTTCTCACTCATGGATATTCTGTGAATATGCACATGTGTCATACAAATAAATACATATATTCACCAAAAACATATACACACACATATATTGGGGAAGGAGAAAGAGAATATTAGAGAACAGGACATGTCCAGAGAAACAAATATGATTTAAAGATATACCAAACTCCTACATTTTCAAAAGCTATAACCTAAGATCTTAGGGAATCCCTGAGGACAAATACAGAAATATTTATGTAGGTTTGACTTTCTCCCAAATACCTGAGAGTCCTGTGTGCTACTAGGAATATTTTCACACCGTATGAGCAGAGATCCATTCAGTTGCCAAAGTATATCTGAGTAGATTGGTTTTACTTGCTGAGCTCCTGAAAGACTGGAAGTATAATTCAGGTCCTCATTAATCCTTGAGGATACTTAGAAGAAAAAGACTCCTTTATTTTGGATAAACTGAAGGAGTCTCTCAATACCTAGCAGTGAAAACAGCCTCCCACACCTGTTTGCTCTGAGCTCCCCACAGTGCCAACAGGAACTGCTTATCTTTCACCTCTTCATGCAGGTTCTGAGTTAATAACCACAGAGTGAATCAATAAACGTTGAAAAGTACACAGAGCAAGCCTCCTGTCTCCACTTA